ACTTGATACAATGTCAAGAGGCCTTTCTTCTGAATAACAAATCTTTCAAATATCCTCATTATTTTAGTGCCCTAAAGGGTCTTGCCTAACGTAGGCACCCTGAGGCCCAGGGCTCTTTCTCTCCCACTTACCATCTCATCACCAAACACATTTAAGGAATGTTATAATGATTGCAGCAAAACTAATAAACTCTAAACTGTAGGATGGTTAAAACAGAATCTCAAGTCCCGATGTTTTTGTAGGCATTTTTTAAATTCCTCGCACGAGGAACGAAAAGAGGAAGCAGCTTTAATAGCAAACGCACTTCAGTTCTGGAAGGAGCGCTGCTTAGCAACCGCAGGATAGATTTCACAAAAAGTTTCACGAGTAAAGGTAAAGAGAGAGAAATAAAAGTTACAAATGGCAAATAGTATGAGAGGGAGAAAGAACAAAGACAATGCTGAGAAGGATGCTATCCTAAGATTCCTTTAGCTAATCAAAAATTTGTAAGAGACTCGTATTGATTTGTTTGAAACCATTAAAAGAAAAAGCAATAAATGCTTTTCATCCCTGTAAACTGGCTTAGTTTCTTCCCTCCGCCGCTCGGAAGATGTAGTTGCATATTCCTAATCCCCCCCTGCTGCGTGAAGGAGATACTGAGCCAAACATGATAGAGCTATTACTGAACTGGACCCGTCCCAAAAACCTGGACAAAGAGGAAAACAAACTTTTGTTACATGGTACATCAATGAGTGGAGTAAAGGATACAGGCTGATCCATCTCTCCTCTGCAGTATTCTTGATCCCAGCCAAGTCACGGTGATGTGGGGAAGAAGGATTAGAGAGAATTCATGTCCTCAAAAAGCTGAAATCCAAAGCTTGATTCTATTATCACAAAAAGCTCATAATTTTGCGGAGGAGGAAGGGGAACCTATAAATTTTCTCTTTTAACACCTTTGAATCCTTTTGACAATTCCTAGTGCTCTCGTGTCAAGTGTTCTGACTCATTAGGGTCAACTTGCTAGATTTACTGAAGGAACACTGCTCTCGAAAATGCTTTACATTGCCCTGCCAGCTTTGTAAACATAATAAATAATGGTGAGTAAAAAGACAACCCCATCACTGCAAACCCGGGAAAATGTTACAAGGTTCCAGAAGTCAAGTAAGTGCAGAAGTTTTTGAAACTTGTGAGAATTCTGCCCTGGGCCACGAGCTTCTAGAAGAGAAATAAAGACAATTTAATCTTACATATTCTTCAAAGGGGAAGCAAAAAAAGACTAGAAAGGACCAGCTATTAATTGTTAATATGGTCTGGGTACTTAAACCCATGCGATTCCCTGCTGTTGGTATGAAAATTATGGTCGAAGGTCTAGTCTAGGAATCTCTATGAGATCAGCTCAACCACTTTCTGGTGAAATATAAATTCTTTGCATTAACCTGGAAACTGTGAAGGAGCAAATCTGACCATTATTAATATTGATCTTGTGGAGTCACAAGTATTGGTGCGATATGAAATTTCACAATTATGTGGAAGCGACAACACAGCATACCTTACCAGCACCTCTGGGAGAAACCACAAGTGCTTCTCCAAACACATTCTGTGCCTATCTCGCTCGCTCCAAAAAATTGATTTAATTTTGCTTGCTTCCTAACCTTCCCTACTTAATCTTTTTTTGCTGTAAGGCCTCTTCAGTATAAATACTCTTCAATGCAATTAGGTGGCTAATTTAGCCAACCAAGGGAAAGATACACAATTGAGGGGAAAAAAAACAACTTATCAAAATTAACATTTATTTTTCGCAAAGCGCAGAAAAGAGTTATGTGGAATTGCACAAGCCAAGCCTGCTTGGATTAAAAGGCTGAAAAATTCACGTTAACACAACACAGGCCTGCTCCAATGTTCCCCACCCCTCTGTACCACCATCAGTGGCTGAGCCTTTAGTCATTGCGCATCCAAACTCAGGAACTCCCAGCCTTTATGTCACCCCTCTCTCTATTCTTCTTCAAATCCCACCCAAAAGCCTATCGCTTTTACCACCCTATGTCACCCCCCACCCCCTCTTTCTCCCAGCTTGGAGTCCAACTCCATCACTGAGAAGCTCTCCGAGACATTATCCTACATGACAGCCATTGCATAAAAATGAAAGTTGTTGTTAATTACCCCAAATATGGAGACGATCATCTACACACAAGTCCAAGTAAAGAGCTATTGATTAGCGTGCATCACAAATAATGCTACTGACCCAGCTTCTTTGGAATTGGTATATAACCCAGTCTGGCGCATCAAATGATTCACCCTGAAAAGAACTTCCAAAAAAATCAACTCAAGCTTCAGATCAAGAAATAGCAATCATGAATCAGTACGAATTGGTCATGAACCAGGAACATGCAATGACCTGACAGTCACTGCCAACGCAGATGGCAATATGCCAACACTCAAACTAACCAAAGCGAGAGAGAGCACAGTATGTAGTGGTGCGGGAACAGCTGCAGGTTTGTTTTAACAATTATGAGCTTCAAATGACTTCAACCATTATTGCTTTGTCCTTGTGCTAGGTAAATTGGATTCATCTGGGCCTCAAGAGCACTTTATTGCTTTGGAAGATATAATAATCCTTAAAGTTGATATAATGTCTCATCACATCAGGTCAATGTCTCAAAGCTCATCACAGGATTATATTGGAAAGGATAGTGACTGTATATTTTGTAGGAGAATGCAGCACACAACCTGTTTGTTCACTGATGCCTTGGGATGCATAGCAGTGGTAATTTTAACTGTCTTTGCAGCTCCTGGTACATAGAGAACTAACTGCATGAGGTCCAAGACTGTAGCTGGTTGCTACTTTCATGCTCACTCATGAGTATGAAAGACAGAAGTTAAATGGGAGCCAGAAAAAAAAAGAAAGGCGCAAAAAGCAGTTTAGGTCTTCAAATAAAGTTAATAGGGCCTTAAAACCCACTTGCAATTGTACGATTTTTTAAAAAATGATTTCATTTTACCATTAATGTAATGCAACAATGGTTAAGAAATATTACAAATTCTGTCACCACAGTTAAGGGAGGTAAGAAACTGGGCAAAAAAAAGTTATTATTATGCTGGCAAATGACTAATTTATTTCTGCGGGCTTATTCATTCATTTAACTGGAATATAAAGGGAGTGAAGTCAACAGTGTACTGCCTTGTGAATATTTTATAATGTGTGAAAATGTCAACCAGAAAGGGATAAGGAGAAAGACACTAAAACGATGGATACACTTGCAATAAGGCATGGCACAGTTGTTAAACCTATATTTAAAAAAATGCAATGCCAATTATATTAAGGCAATATAATAATCCCTCAAAAAAAATTAATTTGGTCACTCAATCCATGACTATTTGCAGTACACTGCTGTGTGCAATTGGCTGCTGCGTTTCACCCATAAAATATACAGTTCACTTAACAGTGTATTCTGTGAAGTGCTTTTGAGACGTCTCAACGACGTGATAAGGTTCTATATCAAATGCAAGGATTATTATTAAGATTCAGTCTAATTTAGAGTCTGAAGGTTAAAAGGCTCAACTAAGATTTATAGATTTTCTGCATGTGGAGCTTTCAAAAATTTAAATCTAAAAGCTTTCTGTAACAGTGCGGAATTAAACTACTGCAGCACAGAAAAGTAAAGCAAATGTGCTCCTACCATTCAATGCGGCAGCAGTCATGTTTCAGGAATGGCTCACCTATCGCTTAATACCATCAGTTACTGAGATCAGAGAACAAAGACAACAAGTCAAATTTACTCCTAATATTAGTTAGATAATAGTTAGATCACACAAGATGCACGTACACATATGAAAAATAAGCCACACTATTTGTAGTGTACAGGACTCCTGTATACATATATACACACAAATGGTTTGTGCACTGCAAAAAAATATTTAATTACAAGAGTTATAGGCTGGACTTTTCCTTTGAATAATTTAAACTTACTCCAGGCCAGCCATAGATTTAAAGCAGGAAACCTTTTTAACTGAGCTGTATGCAGCAAGTCTTTAAAAAAGGCTTTTAAAATGTCCACCCTTCTTTTTCCAATGAGTATATGAAATACAGTCAGCTCAGTGCTTTACATTCATTACTGTACACGAACTGATCTCAGGATCACAACTCACAATTCATAGCAGAGGATCCTGCACACAACTATTGCAATAAATTTAAAATGATGGGAAGTAAATTATAAAATAACGTTTTAATGATGAAAAGCAATTCATTGGTAGGTACACATCAACCATTTCATTCTGTGTACTAAACTGCTATGCTACTTATCGGATATTAATGCTAATTTTCTTTTGCCGCTAGACAAGTGGGGGTAGGGAGATCGAGTAACCTTGTCTCCAAAAGATAACACATGACCCATCTTCAGATATTATTACGATAGTTGGTTTATATTCATATAATACTTACTTGCATGATACAGCGCCTTATCACATCTTTGAGACGTCTCAAAGCGCTTCACAGGATATACTGTAAAGTGTAGTGACTGTATTTTGTGGGTGAAACGCGGCAGCGAATTGCACGCAGCAGTGTCCCACAAACAGTTGTAGATTGAGTGACCACATTACGTTTCGCCCATAAATATACAGTCAATTCACTTTACAGCATATTCTGTGAAGCGCTTTGAGAGATTTAGAAGATGTGAAAAGCGCTACATCAATGCAAGGATTATTAATTATTATAAGAGTACTTTTGCCAGTAGAGATCTTTCAACCGTGAAGTTTTTTTTAATAAAAATACATTTTAGTCCCTGAACATAGACTGTTTGCACAGTCTCCCGACAAGACTGCCAGTTAAGGACAGCACAATTGTCAGTTTAAAAATGTAAATCTCCCTGACTGCTCTATAGAGTGTTAGTGGGGGTAGGAGAGGGGGGACAGACTGTTCTTAAACAGGAGATTCTGAATGCTAAATTTCTGAATCATAAAAAGGTTAACTTTCACAATACAAATGAAAAGTTCGAGAAATGATTCCAAACAAAGAAGTCACTTACGGTCAAGTCCGTTGATGTATCGCATGGTTATCTCACAGTGTCCCCAAACTGCACTGACTATTGGATATAGTTTTTTCCCTTTCAGACCCTTGAACGCCACACCCAGGTATTGTCCATCCACGATGAAACTCAGTGTCCCTTCATCCATGTCCAAAACCACCAAGAAACCATCAGGCAACACAAAAGATTCGTCAGGCTCCAAGAACACTGGGTACGTTGGCCCCGGCTGGTTTTTGCTATTGTAGTAGACTTTGTTGCGACCCAAGTCCCAACCCCACGAGTCATGATTGCTGCCAACTAATGAGGTGTATCCGACAGAATGCAGTGGGGCTTCTGCTGTTGCCACCCCAACCACAGCATGGGTTCCCCTCTGCCTGGTGGGCCAGTGAATCTGCCAAACGTGAAGGCCCCGTGTGTACCCTACTTTGCCGCGGATGCAATCTGTGCTCTGGGCTACCGGGTGTCTGTGAAAGGTCAGCTTGTCGTCTTCTTTCACAAAAATATTCAGAGAACGGTCTTCGTTGTTCCAGGCGTGCTTCAGCTGGACCTCTTGGGAGGCAGATGGCATATCCAGGAGCATGTCGAGACGAGCGGGTTTGCAGAAGTCAAGCCCTCTCAGCTGCCGCTTAACAGGCCTGCAGGCCGGTTCCCTCACATCCACAGATTTTATACTCCCTGAGATTTTCTGGCCCATTTCTTGGTTCCCGAAACCACTGAGAAGATTGTTTTGGCCCAACGTTACCTCATGAAAGCACTTTTAGAGTCGAGCCAACAACACAGCAAGCAGACGGATTTATTTCCTACTTTTTGCAGTCAAAAGAGAACAGTTTTCCACAGGGAGCACACTCCTGAAACGAGAAAGAGGGGGGAAAAAAAATTATATTCACTTAGTTCCAACAGTTTTCTTTCTTTGAGACTCACAATCTATCAGCTCTTGCTCTCTCCTCTCACCAATTACCCGCAACGTTTTTCTGGACGAACCTTGTATTTCTCTGAACGATGGTGTGAAAGGGCTGAGTTAAACCAAATATCTGACTACTAGACTGGAACCTCGAACAGAAGTCAAAGCAGGATGCACAGTCGCATGTTACTGTAAAAGACAGACAATAACTTCCTCTAATTCATAATAGGATGCAGACATTCCCCACCTTCTGGTCTCCCCAACCCTCAACTTTGTACAGTCATCCCTGAGTGACTGTACAGAGAGATTTTTTTATTATTATTCATTCCTGCTGGATAACTTCATTTCCATTCCGATTCCATGAAACATGCCAGTTCCAAACAAAAACTAGGCTGTTCATACTTGTATTTTTCAAAACTATAAATCATGTTTAGGGTTATGTAAATATCTCGATGCTGAACTTGATGACACACACATACACACAACACACAAACTATCAAATTTAGACAAATGTTTCCCACCCCCCCCCCACCTCCTGCCTTTTTCTCCACTTTATGTTTAAAACTAAGAACGCCTCACCTGCGCCTAGGTTCAAGAAGATAGACATTACCATCTTAAACAGGCAGGAATTTCCCTAAACATAAACTGATGGCCCAGCAGGCTTCCCCTTTTGGAATGAAATGCCACTGTGCCATGCCAATTAAAACAAATACCACAGGGCCTTTCAAATCTCCATGTGCTCAGTTAAGTTTGCAAATCACAGGAATAATTTGTGCGCTTCATTCCAGCAAAATTTTCCGCCGCTGTAAGCAGCCCGACAAACCAGACTGGCTGGAAAACAAGTTCATGCTGTTTCGAAAGTCCAGATCACATCATAAGCAATTGAGAGTTTGTAATCATGCCTAACTTATTTTTTTTAAAAATTCACTTGCTATTACACAAAACAAAAGGCTGCACAAAGACTTTTGGTGGGTCTCTCCAGACACCACCAATATGAACCGACTTTCAACCCGAAATCTTCCTCCCCTCCATAACCAGCCAACGCATTCCTCTTTCATTCAGTCTCATCTCCCACATCCCATTTAACCCCCTCCCACAACACCAGAAAACTTGGTTTGTCATATATACACATACATATATATATATATAAAAATAATTATATGCAAACCAGAGAGAAAGAAGAAAACAAACATTGCGATGGGTGCACCCAGCTGCGTGTAAATGTTTCACAAATAACTCAGCTAGTTTGCCATTGTTGATACTGGATTCCAGCACCCAGTTACAGTACAGTATTCAGCTTTTATCTAGCACATCATGGAACTGCTCGCAGGCTTTTAACTTAAACAATATGCGCAAGAGTATAACTACATCCTGCTAACCTGTAGTCAAAAGTGCAACCTTGCTTCACCAACATTAGTATTCTTAGGCCCATCTGGATAGTTCAAAAACATTAGGAATCGCTAAGTTTAAAACATTTCCCATTATGAAATAAACTATAACATAGACTTAAATTTCCCATCTTCAGATCACTCTGCATTCATACAGACTACAGTAAGGAAGAGGTTTTTGAAAGATTCATCAAACATAAACTTAGCAACCCAGGGGCAATAGGCAACATTGGATTTAACAGCTTGATACTGAAGTGCTTGAAGAACGAGATCAAATGGGCTCGATGACTTTCTTCATTCGAATTTCTTGTGATGTGTACATCTCAGGAAGATGTCCAAATTGCACACTCATTTTGTTCAATGAAGCAGCCTTTGGGAGATATAAATTTCAGAACAGTTTCAAGAAGCTGTTCTGCAATACAGCCAGAGGGTTCAGGTGCTTACAAAATCGACCTAATTTAGATCATGGAGTAGATTCATAGCAGCTGGTACAAAACTGTGCGTGTGAAGTCATTCTTATGTGATTCACAACCATTCCTGACTGTCTTACATACAGGCCAATGGGAATAAAACCACAGCAACTGGACTACAGACAGGCAAAGAAGTACCTCAGTCTCTGGGAGCAACATGATGTCTAGTATTTACTCCTACATTTCTGCAAGGAGCTCGCTGTCTCCAGAAATATCAGCAAACAAACTTAACATTTGGATTCTACGTAGTTCTCTGAGACAATTGACATGACTGCGCGGATGAAGTTAGATTGCTATTGACGGCTGTGCTGGGATGTTAAATGCTGCATAAAACCTTACATTTGTTAAGGGTAACTTGCTCCAACTGCTGCCTCAACTAAGATTAGTGAATTCATCAGCAGACAGCAAGAAACAAGGAAACAGCTTGTATTTTCATAGCTTCACAACATTTCAAAATGCTTTTCCAGGTACTGGAAAATATAGCAAGCACAGTGACCTTTTGGAGGCAAACATAATTTGCATAGAAGTCATAAAAAATTGAGTAAATTGCCAATTAGTTTGGAAGTGGATTGATGAAGACATGCGCCTTGGGACGTCCTCCCGACAAGAAAGGCGCTCTATAAATGTAATTTTGTTGTTGTTGACACAGGCGGAAACTTATTCACCTTCCAAGAGCATTATTGGATCTTTAATATTTCCCTCGACAGACAGATGAGAGTTCAGTTCAATATCTCATCCAAAGACTGTCATATCCAACAATGCTGCACTCCCTCAGTCCAGCACTGAATTTCAAACACTAGCTCATGACTTGAAGCCCCTGACCTAGAAATGTATTGTGTGTCTATGTGGGTGTGTGTGTGGGGGGGGGGTTGGGGGGTCTGGCTTTGTACTATATCACGTGGTGCTTTTACTTCTTAAGACTATCAGGAGTTAACACAGCTTATCAAAACTGTGTTAGGATCTTCATATTACTGGAAGGCCTAAACATTCTTTGTAAATTTCTTACAATTACGGAAACAATTTCACAATCGATCATCATACAATCTGACACCAGTAGATTGTAACAAAAATATAAAATAAGAGTCCCAATTTATTTTCCTGAACTACTCAAATATTTTGCCCATTGTAATTTCAGATGTAAGAAACAATAACAATGACACTAACTACAATGTAATATCAGAATACTTGGCCAGAAACGTATACCTCTGAGCCACAACAAATTAATTCTTCATTTTGGAGCCAGTTTCAATACAAAGACACTAACTTCGCATCCCATTCTAATCAGCTATCTAATTTTGCAAATGACTCAACATGCAGTAACCCTTGCACAGGTGGGAGTTCTCATTTTCAACACAGATTAAATAATAAAGTCAGATAAATCAACCATCCGGACCAATCATACATCAAACATTTCAAGAGTTAAGATTGAGAGATAAGAAAATGAGTCATTCCAAACCCCAATGAACAAGGATGAATATAGATTCAATTCAGAAGTCGGTGACAAGTCATGTCCTGCAGACTGTGTGGACTTCAATAACATGGGATGACAAAAGGTTCACTTTTTGGCCTTCACTATCACGCTAAGCATTTTGTTAATAGCAGACTTGTTATTACAGTGCGCATTCTGCAACTTTCTTGGCATTTAGTCAAAGTCATTTATATTTCACATACACACACACTTGCTGCATGCAACAACAAACTTCAGTATCCTTAAAGATTAAGAGTAGTGCCATAAAAAAATTACTTTGGGAAAGATTTAAAAAGCTGAATACATAACTCAGCCTGGAGAACTGAAAGAAACTGACCAAAATGTCCCCAGCTCATCTTTCTGCAGAAAAGCTATTCTAACTAGCACCACACATGCACAAAATGCAATCTCAAATACCTACTCCAGTTTCTTGCAGTATCCTTCACTTTTATTCTTTCTCCACATGCAGAGCAGAAAGAGGAGTCCAGTCCTCGTTCCCTCTAACATGAAGTGCAGGAGCTGTGGGAAGCCCACATGTGTGCAGTGATCATCAGCAAACAAAACAGGACAGAAGTACTTCCCAATTCACTGAGAAGCCAGACACAGACAGAGCAGGACTAGGGGGTGGGGGTGGGTGGGACGAGAAAGAAAGCAGCTTTGCAGATTTTGCAAATGCAAGCTGAGCAACAAAACCACGAAGGGACAAGTCACAGATTACTTGTGATAAAGGCCGTGCCTTCCATCAGTAAAAGCAATCCTCTGAATCTTATGCGATGCTTCAAAAGCCTTGCTTTTAGCTGCAGAAAGAAGGATGGCCCAGATGGAGAATAGGCTCCAGTGAATGCAATAACCTGTCATGAAAGCTGATCTAGCTGATCTCATCACTGAGGGCTACTAATCCACTGATCTCGGAATTAAGAACAGATGGTGACGCCCCTTTCCCCAGTCACCACACACACACACACAGGTCTTGGGACAGGCTTTTTTTTTAAAAAAAAGCCAATATATTCATCTTCAGGTCATGTACATCCTGCAAATCTGTATGTTCATAGAATTCTACATGTGCACTAAATCCAAGGCTAAATGGCATCCTTCAAGCAGGGACAGATCGTTCGCACCAAAACCTACTGCAGGAAGCCATCTGGAGCTGTCTGCACCACAGCAGATTGGCAAGGGTATGAATTGCCACCTTGAGGCCATGTAGATGTGCAGCACAAAAGCTGCCCATTGTTTCTGCTGCGAGGGGAGCCACAGGCATCTAATTACAGAAGCGCACATTAGGGGGAGGATCCTCAGCTGGCAGACTTCAGGACAGATGGCAAACAAAAGTGAGGGAAGCAGAGTGTGCGAGATGCTTTTGATACATTGAATATTTTATGTTCAGAAGCAATTTCTGCCAATTAATTTTTCAAACACAGGTTTTAAAATCTAATATAGTCCTGCTGTAGGCCAAGTAATTGGCACGTACCCCCTCCAACTCAAAAAATTCTTAAATTAATTTTAGCATTTAAAAAAACAAACCAACAGGTAATATGATGTTTTGCACTTTTGAAAACATGCGCAAAAGGTACGCTTGCATCAAATGTTTGAAAATGTACATCTTTACAGCTTCCTTTTCAAA